AGTCGTTGTGAATGACGGCCACCTGTTGAGTTCATAGTTCATGATGCTAGATTGTCTAGAATCTAACTCTCTGTCTAGTACATCTGGGCCAGGCAGATCTAAGTCTATGGCCATTCTTCCTGTAGCCTATTTAACAATTTTGTGAAAGAACAGAACTTCCATTATCACTTACCACAGCAGGAAGAAGCGTTGACTCGAAAATCCCTTGAAAAAAAATAGATCTACTCCTCAATGCAGAAACTTAGCAAGGCACTTTCGAAATTCCGCGCCGCACACGCTCAGACGCACAGCCGTGTAGCTGTTAATTTTGCCAAAAGGTGGGGGTGTTAATCTTAAACTATCAAACAGTAGTGCATTCAAACACTGAAAATATTTAGTATACACTATCATAACACCGTGTGTCCATTAACAGGGTTTGATTTTTTATATTAATGATGTTATTGCTGAGTAAAATTTATAAGTTCGTTCATATCTCGTGTCATAGTTACATCCAGACTTTCCAAGGTCTAGAAAACCCAAATCGTTAACCATATCCTCCCCCAGGAATGACCAGTATTAAACATTGGTTTGATATTGATCCATCAGAAGGGTAATTTTCCGCTCCGTCATATGGTTTTGCTTATTTATGACTTTGATTGAGATAATCCAGGTTTGTTATAATGATGTTATGAACAAACACTTTACGATATTTCTGCAAAATATCATGTGAGGGACTTCCCACTGTTTCACAACATCCTTCTACATGGTGGCATAAACATGGAAGAGTAGCGTGCTGATGACTCAAAAAAGCGAAGAAGAGGCAAAAATATGCTTGTCATAATGGATTGTCATCATGTTATAAACGTGACAGTATCACAGTGTGTCATAATGGTTGTGAACGAAACCTTATTCCATGTAATTTACAGTTGTTTTGGGATGTATTTTTTTTATTTTAACCCAACATAAGGATGTATTAGATCTATACCTTGCTTACATTCTGATATTTTGATGTTTATCATACGTGTATTGGTCTGGATTTTAATTAGTATTTTACTTTTGTAGTAATGGTTATGAACAAACTATATTGATGGCTTTTCAGCTTTGATAAACATTAAAAACATGTACACAGATACATATTATGAGGAAACTTTCATTTAATCTAAATATTTTAAAGTAAATGACAGATCAAAATATTAATTTTTAGGTCAAAACTGAAGTTTGTCATAACTGTTATGAACGAACCATTAAAGGTATTCTAAGGGTTTTTCAGTTATTAAACTTTGAATTCTTCCAACATATATGATTATTTTGAGGAAAGTCTCATAAATTAAAACAATTTTATGTGAATGACAGAACAATAAGTTAAATTTTTGGGCCCAAAGTAAAATTTGTCATAATAGTTATGAACGTGACAGTGTGTCATAATGATTATGAACGAAACCTTATTCCATGTAATTTACAGTTGT